AGCCTGCTGGCAGCAGCAGGCAGGGAGCCAGCCTGCCCTGTCCCCGGGCAAGTAGGGGTTTGAGCCATCAGGTGATGCTTTTGGGAGCAAAATAAGCCACATTTGGTGGAGCAGGGACCTGGTCTGTGTGATCAGGACACGGCCTGGCTGTGCCAGGGCCAGACCCTGCACCCCACAGGGTGTCCTGGCCCCGTTTACCTTCTCATAGACCACTTGGCGCCTACTGGCTCCTGCATTTCGGGAAGCGTGGCTGAGCAGGGACAGTCACCTGCCTTGATGGGGAATCTCCAAGCCTGTGGTGTCTACTGGGAGGTCATGTCCAGGCCCTGGACACATCTGACTGGAGAGGAGCGGGGGGGTGAGCCAGGCAAGCACAGGCTCCCCAGCAACGGCAAAAGCACAGGGGGGAACACGGGAGGACCCCAGCCATCCCCATAACCTCCACAGTGCCCACCCCAAGAGCCCTCACAGAGTTTGTTCACAGATTCCTGCCCTGGGAGCTCCAGACCATCAAGTGCTTGGACCACAGAAACAACAACCATGTGCACGAGATGCTGGAATCCACAGAGGGGAAGGTCAGGGACACCTTTGACTACGTGCTCCACAAGGGTCCCCTGTCCCTGTGCCAGCGTGCTCTTCTGCCAGCTGGTTGAGGCCACCCAGTACTGCCATGACAGCAGGGTGGCCCACCACAGCTTCGAGTGTAAGAATGCCCCAGCTGCAGGGCACACCTTGAAGCTGAAGGATTTTGGCTTCACCAAGCTGCTCCCCAGGGAGCTGAGCTGGACCCTCTGTGGCAGCACAGCCTGCACAGTGCCCAAGGTGCTGCAGGGTGTCCCCCACGGCAGCCCCACGAGCGATGTCTGGACCACGGGCACCGTCCTCTATGTCCTGCTCTGTGCCCACCCACCCTTCAACAACACTGATACCCCCAAGATGCTGCACCAGGAGCAGGAAGGCTTCTCTGTCCCTGGGCACCTGGGGATCTCCAAGGAGTGCCAGAACCTCCTCAAAACGCTCCTGGAACTGGACATGATGCTAAGACTCCCCATGGAGGGGGCCAGCAGGCACCTGTGGCTGACTCACCCTTGAGAAGGACTGGCTCTGCTCTCCCCCGATGGAAGGGATTGTTTCTAAAACGACAGTAATTATGGAGGTCAGCATTTCCCACCGGTCCAGCCTCACAGGTGCTGTGCCAGGCCTCTGGCTGGCAGAGACAAGGCCTGGTTCATACTTGGACATTTTTATCGTTTCACTTCAAGCCCTCGGCCGCCAGCGGTGGGGGACAGGGCAGACCTGAGCTCCGAGCAGCCTGGGGCAGCGCAGACCCACCTTCCCGAGCTAAGCAAGAGGTGGGAGGAAAGGGACACATAGAGCAGCTGACACGCAGACCCTCTTGAGGCAGCCGTCCCCAGCCCACAGGCAAAGTAAATGAGAAGACCCGACACAGGCAGAGTGTAGAATTCCTTTAATCACTGTTAACTGCAAGTCTGTAAAAGGTTTGGAGAAAGTTGTCGTTACAAAACTACCAGCTGTTAGAATTGTTCCTGGTTTTCACCCCAGCTAGAAAAGGCCCAGGGAGATGCAGAATAGGTCAGAACAGAGAATATTGCACAGACAACCAAACGGTTAATTTGACTAAAGAAGAAAAAAAAAAAAAAATTAAAAAAAAGTGACACAGATGAGAGCACTGCACCCTCGGAGCTCTGCTGCAGGCCCAGGGATCCAGCCACAACTCGATCCCATTAAACCCCGAGGGAACACAGCCCTGAGCCCCCCCGCCCCGACACCCCCACTGGTGTCACCTCCCCACAATAGGTTTTCCACTACAGCTAAATTTGAGCCCGGAACAGGGTGAGGCTGCAGCACATTTCAGAGGCTCTGCTGGGCCCACCGTACAACAAGTGGGAGGACGTGCTCCCGGGTAAGCGCTGGAAGTCACCGCTGCAAGTCACTGCTGCCACCAATCCACCTGCATGGGCAGCTGCATTCAAGAATCTCCCCAAAGTGTGGGGGGAAAAAACCCAACAAAACAAAGCCAAACCCCAACTATTCCAAGTGCACCTAGGTTAATGCTATCCAAAACCAGAAGGAAACCCACAGCTCCAATGAGGCAGCCCTGGAAGGGGCAGAAGGACAAAGGCAGCACATATAAAACCACCCGAAAGGTCAGAGGCAGCAGTGAGGGCTCTGTCCCTTTAGGATAACTGTATATTAGCAACATCCACTGAGGAGCATCTTGTGATATTAGAAGAGAACTGCCCCAAAAAGAGAGGCCGTGGGTCTGAAGGAAGCATTGCAAGCAGTCACAGGGGGCTGAAGCGAAGGAACCCAAGAGAGCAGTGCAAGGCTTGTGACCCTGGTGGCCGTGGGGCCTGGCATGGGTAGGACACAAAGGGAGGCAGAGGAGGGGACAGACACAGCCTCAGCCAAGAGGTACCACCCATGCCTGGGCACTTCTGCCTCCCCTCGGGCTGGGAAAGGCAAGGGCCGAGCCTCGGTGCCAAGGTGGAGTTTAAAATAGTGGGCCAGACTGGGGCTTTGCAAGGGCTGAACTGGGCACCACAATGGAGGGGTTCTGCTCCCAGGATGACCCAAATCACTGCCTGTCCCAAAGGGCTCAAGCAAGAGCAAGCCACAAGTACTTTGCTTGGAGAATTTAACTAGAAGTACGCAAAACCCAGTAGAAGGCAGTGCAGGTGCAAAGGGGGAAGCAGCAGGCCTTGTCTCTTAGAGAAGCAGCTGCTCTTGCAGCAGGAAACGAGAGTTTCCATGAGAAAAAAAAGCTTCCAAGACAAAAAGCCAGGCAGAAGCTCACGGTTTGGCAGGGAGTTTGGCTCCTTTCAGCACAGCCCAGCTTTGGGTCAAAGCCACAAGCCAACCGCCTTTCTTCGCAGCAAGGAGTGGCACAGCAGAAGGGGCTTCTACGGTAGCATCTCCGGCCCCTGGCCGCTCCCTGCACGGGGCTTTTCTCCAGGGAGGGCCTGGCCAGCAGCGCAGAGCAGCGAGCGAGCAGGCACAGCCTTTGCACTGCTGGACTGGAGGTTACGTGTGCACACACAAGCAAACAATCAGCCAGCGGGCAGTCCGGCGGCACCAAGCAACCCCGCCAGGTGCCCGAGTGCCCAGCTCGCCCCGGGGACCCCTCGCCGCATCGCATCTGCCTCCACCCGACACTTTCGGGGCAGTCAGTTTTGGCTTGGCCAGTCTCTAGGACCTACTGAGAAGATGGGCTCCCTAGCAGCTAAGTGTACGAGTGAACTCCTGCTTCCTCCTCCTCCTCCTCCAGGTCTGAAGGGGTCACTTGAGTTGCCCACAGGATTTAGTAGGAACGGCACTCCTCCAGCCCGGAACTGCAATCCCCAGCACAGTTACACACAAAGGAACAGCCGGTCCGTGATTTAATTCACATTCGATGGTGGAAATGAGCCTGTGACACACACTGGAAGCAGTCACTTTATTCCCAGTCTTCCCAGTCTTCATCTTCCAGCTGCAAACAAGAGTAACATCCCTCGGTCTGTTTCTGTAACTCAACAGCCATTTTTCAACAGATCCTCCTGCCCAGGGCACCTGAGTCAGCACAAAGCCTGACATACCCTCACGCTCCCACACCCTCACAACAGGGATTTGCTTGCTCTGCTCTCCCCGGGGAGCTTGCACACTCATCCCTCTTTAAGCATGTCCAGGCAGCCGCTCTCTGCTCCAGCTAACACCCACGACTCCCACGGTGAGATCCCAAGCTAAGCCCGTGTCCTCAAAGAGCAACTCACACCTTTGAGAAGCCTCCTGCGAGCTGCTCGGGGCAGGCAGCTGCCTGCTGCAGCGCTGCCCTTCCAGGCCAGCAGCAGCCACATCTTGCTGCAACGTGCTCCACAGCCTTGGCTCCAGCACAGGGGCTGGAAGTGGAGCTCAAGTCGAGGGATTTGCCCTCTCACGCTCTTGAGGCACTGCAGTCTCTCAGGGGAAGCATCCAGCAACGGCAGAGCTTAAGCAGGATCACCCCAAGGAGTTGCTGGTGTTTCTGGGAGCAAGCTTCTTGCCTACTTGAGTGAGCACCTCCCCTCCACTCACCTCCCCAGACACTTCCACCTTCGAGAGCGCCAGCTGCACCTCCTCTTCAGTCATGTCCAAATCAAAGTCCTTTTCCCAGTCCTCACTGATATCAGTGCTGGAGCCTGTAACCACAAACACCACAGATGAGCCACCAGAGCTGCTCGCCAGACACTCTGGGCAAAGCACACCGCTGCCCAAGCAGGCCCACAAAGCCCTGGCGTCCCTGAGGCTCAGATCTACCGCGGCCTGCCCACAAAGAGAAAGCCCCCCTGCCCCCCATGGCCAACAGCAGGCTGTCAGCTCGCTAACAGAGGTGGGATGCGCTTCCCTCGCAGCAAGGGCTGGTTCAGAACAAGTGGGAGAGGGGAACACTGAAACACGTGCTCCTCTGGCCTGGAAGAACTCGTGGGGGCCATGTTTCAGTCACACAGAAAATACAACCGGTAAGGAATGAGAGGAGTGACTTCGATGTGGGGACTGTCATAATCCCCAAAGGAAAGAACAACCTCCTGAGGCAGAGGAGCAGCCGGGACACTCCTGGGGGGACACGCAGAGGGAAGGAAACACCACATTCACTACACAGCCTTGCCCTGGCACCCAGCAGGCCAGGGACCAAAGGCCTACTCTGTTCACCCAGCAGACTTTTCATTCTCGTCTAGTTTCATTCTGCTCACAGACCAGTTCATGCTACTTGGCCACTGAGCTGGATCTTGGGTTGCCTCCAGTGGCTTTATAATCCTATAACCAACATAACCAGTATTCTGGGAGACCTGCAGCAGGCTCTGCTGAAGGCAGAAAGGTTTGTAAATAAAGTGTCACAGCCAGAGCCGCAACACATCCCTCCTCAGGGGCCTGGAGGAGTCTCACCCTCCGTTCTCCTGAGGGAGCACAGGAAGAGGGCTCAGGACAGAGCCAGCTGTGGCACCGGCCCAGCTGCCTGCTGAGAGCAGATTGTCACTATCTGATGTGACTCACTCGACCCTGCCTGGCAGCATGAGGACTCGCTTCCACTTTAGTTTTGGCCATTAGACAGTCTTTGAATCTAACCTTGCTGGGTGATTTTGGCAAAACCCCTTTCCTCCTCCTCCATCATCCCAAACTTAGGCCCTTTCCCCAGCAGAAGACTTCCAGGCCGCACATACGCACCTTTCTTGCCGTTGTTGGAGGGAGTGGATTTCCCACTATCCGAGTTCAGCTCAAAGACTCGTAGATCTGTTGGTCCTTCCTCTTTCAGAGTCTCTGTCCTGCCCTGGGCTTTGCTCTCCACCTCTTTGAGCTCTGTAACAGGCGGCTGCTCTGAGGATGTTGCCGACTCCCGAGCAGGTGCAGAAGGGTGACCAGGTTCTGGGGGCTTTGGCAGGGAGCTCT